GGGCGCCATAAATAAAAGAGAGTCCCATATCTCCCATCACGACCTGTCGCCATCGCCAGTGGCAACGCTCTCTGAGCTCCACAGTTTGTACCACACGCTCGTGGGAATGTGATCACGAGTCCACGAGGAGGCTTTCTTGAGAATCTCAGGAAAGCAAGCAGCAGCTTCCATTACTCGTCGTCTGGTGGTAGCCGGCAGGGACGGGTAGAAGGTTGAAGCTGCTACTTCTTGAAGATATATTTCCATAACCTTTGCAGAGACCCAGCGGCCTCGTCTCCGAACCAATTCGGCGTCTTCAGTTGCTTGCAAAACGTACGTGGCCCCCCCTGGCCGAAAAGACCCTAGGTCTAGAGGCCGGGAGCAGGACCGCGCCGTTGGAACTTGTAAAGCTTCCAAAGCGCTGTCCAGTCTCTTTCGAAGAGTCTGGGCCGAAAAAGGCCAAAGTTTGCTGTAGGCAGGAAGATGAGCGAAGGCGGTGTCGATCAGCTGCACAAGGTCCCGGGCCTCGACTTTAGCAGCTTGATGCCTGGCCGTGCGCAGGCGGGTTTTCGGCTCATCTATCTTCAAGAGGATGAAGGCTTGGCTCCAGAGCGCGTCACGAGGAAGAACAAGCGAAGACCGGACCGCCCCCGTCGCCTCGCCTATCCTAAGTAAGGCGCCCCAGGCCAAGGCAAAAATCCCCGCCTCTGCTCGCCAACCCCAGGTGAGGCAGACCGACAACAGCGCGAGCAGTATCACGGCCGGCATGGCGACGTGGTGGGTGTAGGGCTCCATGGCGAGCCAGCTGAAAGCAAGGTCCCAGGCGCCTTGCAGGACGCGCCGGATCGCCGGCCGGCGGGCACTTATGCCGTTGATCGTTTCGGAATAGTGCCAATACGGCCTGCCAGCCTCGAAAAGCTCCCTGCCATACTGCTCGAGTGTCTTGGCAAGGACCTCAGCGGGCCAGTCCATGAATGCCTCGGCCTCGAACCCTTTCTCAACCAGCCAATCCCCAAAGCTCTTGAGCAGAGCCGCGCGGTTCAGCTTAGTCCTCGGGAGGACTGGGCGACCCTCCGGTAGGCCAGCAGACCCTCTGGCTTGTTTCCTTTTCTCATCCTGGGGGTTTCTCGGGGCGATGGGTCCTTCTCCGGGGTAACCCAACGACGAGTCGAAGGCCTTCAGCGGTGCTCTAGGGGAACTCGGGCACGGGGCTAGGGGCTCAGGCATTAAGGCGCGGCGGGGCTCCTGCACTGCTCTAAGGAGGGGGCCTAAACCGAAATTAGGGTCTCTACGGGCGAGGAGGCAGCACAAGCGGAGCCAGCCAGCGGAGGCAGGGCTTAGGCCGGCGAAACCACAGAGTTCCTGAAGAAGGCTGGGGTCCTGGGCACTGACAAGACTGGAACCTCCAGGTGACCTCAAGCTCGCCTCCCTCGTCGGGTCATCAGCCACGTTTAGACGAGTCGGGGCGTGGTGGAGGCCCAGCCGGACCCCACCTGCAACAGAAACAGCTCCCGTGCGCAGAAGGATGGGGCGCAGTGCCTTGGAGGATGACCTCCCCTTCCCAATGGCGCCTCTGGCAACAGAAGAGTCGAGCAGGAGGGAGACCTTTGAGTCTCCTTCAGTCACCGCGACGTGGGCCGCGACGCGGTGGGCCGCTTTTGCCTCCCGGCAGTTTATGTGCTCCTCCCTCCGCCATCTCCAACAGGCCTCGGTCCTCCAAGGGGCTGTCAGCAGCAAGTCGTTTACGGCAAGGTTCTCCAGGCCCCGACAGGACTCGAGGTCGGAGGGCCGTGACCCTTTGAGACCTAGGGCAAAGGCATGGGCGAGCCGGCCTAAAGCACCCGGCGAGGAGGCACTCTCGAGGCTTAGCGGGTTGTCTCCAAGGGGCGGCAGACCCCGGCTGAGGACCCGGATCTTTCTCTCCCCACAGGCGCTCCCGGAGACGACCTCTTCACGGGCGAAACGATTTGTGAGGCACCTGGTCCAGGCAGGGAGGAAACGGAAGAGGGAGCTGTGGGGAACCCAAAGCGCGACAGGGACTCCGTGCCTCAGGGCAGCCTGGAAGAGGCACAGGTGTGCCAAAGCGAGCCTGTTACCTTCCCTCGTGCGCGACCCAACTCTCTCAAGACCCTCTGGGCTGGAAGGGGAGCGCAGCGGCGGCTTCCGGCAGGGGCTAAAAGTGGCAGTGGGAGGCCCAAGGGCAAGGCTGCCTATCCTCTTCTCAGCCAGCAAGAAAAGGACCCACTCCAAGAGCCTCGGGGCGGCGTGGCAGAAGTGTCTCGAGCGGGCAGGGTCAACCACGGGCCCAACGTAAAAGCCCAGTCGGCCAAGCCTCTCAGACAGAACACCTCCGGAGACGCTGACCTCCAAGCAATCGTAGGAGCAGGCAAGAGGCTTCTTGGGTTGGGCCGCAGCTCCTGGGTCACAGCCGTCAAAAGCAGCGGCGGCACGGCACTTATCCTCGTCTAACCTGACCGCACGCCCCTTTGACTCAGAGGCGAGCCACACAAGCAGGGACTCGTCTGAGGCGATAGGCGCGGAGCAGAAAGCCCCCTTTGTGTTGGAGGCGTCCGAAGCAAACACACGAGAGGCGGGGGCAGCGGAGAGGTTGGTGAGGATAATGGGAGCCAAGACAGCGAGGAGCTGAAGCTCACTAGCGACTCGTCTCGAGAGGGGCCTGAGCGTGCTGCCGGGGGAGCTGGGGACCTCTGTCCTGCCTAGGGAAAACAAGCCGTCCAAAACCGACATCAGGCAACGCCGGTACATTAGGCAAGAAACCCACGACCCGGTGAGGCAGGACACCAGTTCCTCAGAAATGCACGGGCACTCGGCTGCACGTACTGACGCTGCTGCTAAAGACAACCTTTTCTGCGTGGGGTAGCCAAGGTAGGTAGCGCCAGCGGAGACGGTCTCTGCAGACGAGTCTATCTCAGCCCCGGCAACCTTTAGGACCCTTTGGGACAGGATGTCCTTGCTAGGCGACCCTGCGACGTGCTCGGAGTCGTAGGCCTGCTTGGCAATGTTTAAGACATCCAAAGAGGCAGAGACACCCCCTGGCACGAAGCCCCCATCTTCAACGCCCAAACAGAAGAAATCGTCTATGATGAGACCCTGCCAGGGACCATCAGCGGCAACAGGGTGGTGGGAACGAAGGCGTTGGCCAGGGGAGAGGCACCCCCACTTTTCAAGCAAGCCCTGGTGCCCCCCGGTCGCGTATTCGACCCCTCCCGCATCCCCCTGCAGCAGAGACCTGAAAGTCGGGTGAACGACGGTCTGGGAACTGACAAGGAGGGAGGGGGGGGCAGCGGCACGGTCAGCGGCCCGAGCGCGAAGTCCAGCGCTCCAGCCCGCTGCAAGCAGTCTCTGGCCGGCAGCGGTATCAAGAAGCCTTCCGAGGGGAAAAGCCGGGCCCACGGCGTTCGTCCAAGATCTCTCCTCAGAAACGGCAGCCTGTGTGTAGAAGTCCTGGCGGTCGGTCACGGAGCCCACCAGGCAACAGCCTACCGGCACATGAATGCGGCACAGCAAGGGGCCCGAGGGCAGGTGCTTCGACGGGCCACATAAGTGAGCCTCAGTGGCGTTTTGTCCTCTTCGGTCTCCGATCTGGCGCAGCTTGCCAGGGGCCTTGAAAGCCCCGAACAGCCGAGTAAGCTGGCGGTCGGGCAGAGGACCCGGGACGAACCCTAGCAGGGAAGAGGCGTCCCAAAGTTTACAAAGCTCTATCAGGTTATCCGGCTTTTCTTTTGCAAAGGAAGGGGAGGGGCCGTCGAGGCCAGCAAAGTGCAACGCTTGGGGCTCGACGAAAGGCATGTAGAGGTCCGGCCCAAGGTGGACAGAGAGGTCCCACTTTCCCTCGCCGTGCAAAGCAACCTGATCAGCTCGAAGGTCCCTGTAAGGGCGAAGAGCCTCCAAACCATGGTCGGCATGGGGCAAGAAAGGCGCCTCCTCGGACAAGGCGCCGTCGCCAGGGTAAGCGCCGGGGGTCAGGCCACAGCGCTCGGTAAAAGCAACAACCTCCGACAGCCTGGCAGCAAGATGGAGGCCACGACGTCCGGAGCAGGCGGGCACGCGGCCAGCCCGTCGGGCACACGCTCGAACAAGCAACTCAACCCTATGATAGGCACGCACCTGAGCAGGATTGAGAGGCCTCTGCAGAGAACGCAAGGGAACATGTTTGCAGCCGGCGTGCATGTAATTCAAAGACATGGCGACCAGGTGCACGCACCGCTTTACAGCCAAAGCCCGGCGGTCAGATGCGTTTCGGCAGGCCCGCTGGTGGAAGATCCTCTCGTAGAAAAGAGGCAGCGGGAAAAGAGCGGCTGAGGGGTCGGGTTGGTTCCCCTTTGGCAGATCAAAAGTAGAAAGAAGAAACCGAGACAGCTGCGTCTTCCCACGCTTTAGAAGGCGAGGCAGGGCAGCGATCCAGGATTCAAAAGTGAACTCACCCTCTTCACTGAGGCTGCTGCCCATCAGGGGGAAAACATCTCCGGAGTCATCGCTCACGAAGGGAACATCCTCTGCGGCAGTAGGTGGCTCGGCGGGAGAGGAACAAAAGCCCAATTCAAAGGCCGGCGGGACCGGGGGCGAAGGGGAGTCCAGGACTGCCCCGAATGCGGTGGAAGTCAAGAAACCAGGGACACCAGCCGAGGAAGACCGCTTCCCCGACCCGACATGGGAGGAGGAAGCGTGGCTGGCAGGGCGCCGGGAGGTTGAAACTCGACCGGGCTTAACACAACTCGGCAGCCTCACTTCTTTGGGGGAGTCTCCGCCGTTGCCCTTCGCGCGGCCCAGGCGGCTGCTCGCTGCTGCTTCTTGGTGAGGTCCCCCGTGCCCGGAGAAGCGGGTGGAGGGGGCGACGGCTTTGAAGGAGCTTTTGGGATCCCGGGTCCCTTTGCCTGCGCCTCGGAACGACGCACAGTTATACTCTCTAGCTCCTTTGCGTATGCCAACGCTGTCGTCACCCACTTCTGTTCGGCCAGCGGCGAGAACACGGGTAGCTGAGCGCCAGGAACCGAAGCCGGGGGCTGAAACACACTCTGTGGCGGCTCCGCCTGGAGGGTTAGCAGCCAGGACAGGGAGCTGTTGCCCCCGTCCAAGGCAGTTTGCTCCATCATGAGCAGCATTAAAGAGAGAGTGTCCCGAGCACCCGCTTCCGAACCGACAGCCAGTAAGTCCAGAGCCTGTGCGGTTTGCCAAGCCAGGAGCCCTAGCATAGGCTGGGAGGAGAAGGCCCCGTGGCGCTCCAGGTAGCGCATGAAAGAGATCTGATCCTCGGCCAGTAAGTTCGTTGGGTCCATGCGCCGAGACATGTTCGCCCGGATCCTGTCTGCAAAAACCCCGGAGCGGGCCGCCAGTTCCTCCTGAAGCCTGGCACGGTTTGCGGCTCCTCTCACGCCGGCGGCTTGCCCAGAAACTTCTAGCAGAGGGTCCGAAGACCCGGAAGACATATGCCCCACTAAGGCGACCAGGGCCTGGCTTTGCGCAAGAACGGCCGAAGTCAAACTGCTTTCGCCCGGCAGCTCGCCCCTTGCAAACGCTCCTGCCGACTCCTCCTCCAGGTCCTGTTGCACTGGCGCCGCTGGCGGCTGAGCACGCGTAGGCGGGGGAGGGCCAAGAGCACGGGCTAAATTGCGAGGGGCAGTCGAGGCCGGGGGGAGGACGGAAGCCAAAGGCTGCTGAAGGATAGCCGTGTTGAGCGCGGCCGGCGGAGCAGGAGCAGCCGGAGCCGAACCGAGAGCAGCCGGGGCCGGGGCCTGAAGGCTGTCGAGCCGCTCGACCACTGAAGTCATGAGCTGCATCATCTGAGTCTGCTGGGCGGCCAGCTGCTGCACTGTGGGCCTCTTTGGCTTCGGGGGCTTCGGGCGCTGAGGCGGGGCTTCCGTAGCAGAGACCGCCGTCTGGTAACCCGACCGATCCTCGGGAAGGCTCCCAGCTCCTGACAGCCACTCCTTTGCTTGCTTGAGCACCTCGGAAGCCAAGGGGAAAAGCATCGGATGCCCTTCCCGGAAACAGACTAAGTCTTCTGCAGAGAGGTCTGCAGGAGCCAGCTGCTCGGCCATGTGCTCGGCCATGTCGACCACCAAGGCTGAAAGGCGAGTCTGGCCGGGGGCCGCAACCCAATTCCCCTCGGGAGCAAGCATCACGGGAGGGGCTGACACCAGCGAGGAAGGGCCGATCCCCGAATCCTCGGCAGGCTGCTGCCCAAGGTCCCTCTCCTCTTGACTCAAAAAACCCTCCGGTATGCAAAGCAAGAAGCCAGAAGGCCGTTTCATAATAACATAGGCCGAGCATGTTGCAGGGGATTGATCCTCAGAAGCGGGAGGCCAAGAGAACTCCAGAACCTCAAGGGACCCCGACTCGTAGGCAGTAAGCTGGGCAAAGTCCATCACCTAAGAAGGGAAGTCGGGTAGGCTAAGGCAGCCGCAGCGAAGTACACTCGGCACTCGGAAGTGGACGGGAAGCCGTGTGTAACGGAACGGCCCAAATCGGGGCCAACGACGCGCCTGAAGGCGGAAAGGGAGCCGCAAACCACGGGAGACGGCAGCCCCTCCGCACGCAAAACACAGTAGAAGCGAGAGCTCAGATCGAGGGGCTCGGACGGGTCCGGCCTATCAACTTGATCCTCCAAAACGGCCCTGGCCCAACAACCAGCAAGCCAAGCCCGATCCACTCTTTGTCGGGGAGTGAGGCTCCCCACAGAAAGCTGGCGGCAAGAGTCCACAAGGTATTCCGGCAAAGGCGGGAAAGCCAAAGCAACGGCTTGTCGTCTGCTGAACCGGGAGCTCCGCGAGCTCGGCAAGGGGTACTCAGGCACGGTCGAAACCGAGGAGGACTGACGCGCAGCAGGGACGGACTTAGGCAGAGCCGGGGCTTCACGCAGCAGCGCCCTGTCGTCCAAAGGCACACGGGTCCTAAGGGGGAGTGGGGCTGAACTAGAGCTTCGGCCTTCCGGCTGCACACGGGTTGAGGGCCTAGGGCTTACAACCGAAAAACCCGAAAGGGAAGGGGAAGGGCTCCTGTCGGCAGCCTCGGCAGTGCTCGGCGAGAGCCTTATACCTCTGAGCCTAAGTGACAAGCCTTCGATCTCAAGTGAAAGATCCCAGCGACTGTCACTGTCACTCATGCAAATAGGCTCGCAGTCGGGCCTGTCGCCGGGCGGCCGGCACAAAAGAAGGAGCTTCGGCAGCAGCCGGCTCCTCGGCAGGCGGAACCCCTATCAGGTATCGAGCAGCAAGCCAGAGCCCAAACCCTGTGCCCAGAATAACACCAGAAAGGAAGCTGGCGAGGAGGGCTCCCACGCCCGGAGCAGTACAGTAGAAAGGGCACGCCAGGCCCCAAAGATTTGTAGAGGCACCCTGGTGAACCACCTGCAGAAGATTCAGCAGATGCTGGACAACCATCGAGGGGCCTACTTGAGAGCTTGAGTTGCATACATTTCGGCATTCGCTTCTAAGTGTCAAGGGGTCTTGGGCTCTCTGGGTACGTTCTTGGGTCTTGGAGGTCTTGGCCAAGCACAAAACAGGCCTCCGATAACCACGGCGAAGGGACAGACCCCTAAAAAGACCCTAACACCCGAACCGCTCAAAGCTTTGAACCCCTACAAGCCCCAACTACAACCTGTCTTGCTAATGTTGGCGAAGGTGCTTCTGTGCCGAGGTGTTGTCGCAGAGAACGGGGCAAGAGCCCGCCACCGGTTCCACGCAAGTCTCTTCACGGTGCCTCTGTCCATCTTTTCGATCCCTGCTACGGAGGGGGGTTATTCATCAGGGGTCTACATAATCACGAAAGTTCATTAGGGAACCCTAAACCCTAAATCCTGTTTAGGTTTCAAGTTTAGGGCCTTTGGGCCAATTCGGGCTTCGGCCTCATAGCTCATCTCTTGCACTACAGCTTAGGGTCCCGGGCTCACCAGGGTTTAAGATTTAGGGCTAAGGGTTTATAGGGGCTTATAGGGTTTATAGGGTTTAGTGTTTAGGGTTGAGGGTTTAGGGTTGGCGGTCAGAGATCGGACAACCTTCGGTCACAGCCGGACACCTAGAACTTTCAGGCCAAGCAGAAGGTGCTGATGCCTGTAAGCCTGATCATCTTCACCCCGCTCCCGTGTATCCAAACTAGGATGACCATCACCAACATCATCATAATACGACGGATGACAGTGCAAATAGCCAAGTTGTAGTAGTGATACGGTCAGAACAACAACGAAAGGAAAACCAAATTCATTAGCAGTAACAGTAGTAACAGTACTGACCACAACGATACTTATGATCATCAAGGAAAGCTGTGATGCAAAAACAAAGATCATGATCATGCCTCTACGATGTGCACTAATAAGACTAATCAGACTACGAATATCAACACTTCCCTTAACCCTAAACCTAACAAGACCCCATAAAACGCTGTATGAGCCTCTATGCAACCCTGTGCAGCCCCAATGCCTCAACCCGGGGTGAAACCGCATCCGCCCTATAATAAGCCCCAGACCAGAACCTGAAACCCTCTCAGACCCTAGACCCAAGGTGAAATCGAATCCCCAAAGCCCAAGCCCCCAAGAACCCCCTAAGCCCTTGAACCCCAAAACCTTTGAAGCCCCGAAACCCTGAATCCTAAATCCTAAACCCTAAAGCCTAAACCCTAAACCCAAAGCCCTAAACCCTAAATCCTAAGCCCTAAGCCCCAAACCCTAATCGCTTCAAGGCGGCGGCATGCCGCTCCGGAAGGAGATCACCTAGTTCATGGTTGGGGTAGTATTAAAAATTTAAATTTAAATTCCTTATTGGGTTTAAGTACCTTTAAAAGTGTAAAATGTTACCCAACTATGACAAAGTCACGGGGCAGAGCTCAAGGCCAGAGCTGCAGGCACCGGGGCAGTCGCTGTACCACTCCTGGGAAGCCCGAGACAGCCGTGGGATAAAGACAAGGGTTTAGGGTTTAGGGTTTAGGGGTTTAGGGGTTTAGGATTTAGGGTTTAGGGTTTAGGGTTTCGTGGTTTAGTGGTTTAGGGTTTAGGATATTGTTTAGGTGCATAAAGACCAAGGTTTAGGGTTTAGTGGTTTAGTGGTTTAGTGGTTTAGGGTTTAGGGTCTAGGATTTAGTTGAGGTGCATAACGACAAGGGTTTCGGGTTTAGTTTTAGGTGCGTAAAGACAAGGGTTTAGGGTTTGGGGATGTTTTAGTTGCAGGATTCTTAGGGCTTAGGGTTTCGTGTCCAGGGCTGAGGCTTAGAGCACGGACTGCTCCATTCAAGCTTTACGGAGCCTTATAGAGTTTTGATAAGGATCCTTTAGTTAGTTAACAATAATGATAGTCTAACTCTAAGCCCAAACTCTAAACCCAGGTGCAAGGTCTGGAGATTACAGTCTCGCATTGAAGGGGTAGGTTAGCGTTTCGAACTGGCGATGCAATGTTTTCCATGTCACCGGGGCTTCCGGTACAGAAAACTCCAAAGCTCAATTCCTAAACCCACCCTAGGCACAAAAAAAAGGAACCCTGAGTCCCTCGTCTGACTGCAACTGACTGCAGACCCCAAATCAATGAACCCCCTTTCCCCCATCGGTATGTCTAAGAGGTGCGAATTACCAAGGCACGGCATTACGTCTCACTTCCTCAACTACGGGAAGCTTCAACGGAAACTTGGGGAAGCCTCCTGCCGAGACTCCAAATTCTACAACCCAATGGGTTCAGGCCAGCTTAGGCTTTAGGATTCAGAGCTTGCTTGAAGGATCATGGGACTTAGTAACTAGGGCTATAAATCAGGTATCTATGATTATAACCCCAATTAGGGTACTTATAACCTTACTTACTAAGTCCCATGATCCTCCAAGTGGGGGTTGGGATTCGAGTCGGGCTTCGGGTTTAAGGATGTGTGTTTCGCGGTCTTTCGGTGTGTGGAGCAGGGTTTCTCTGTAGATAAGACAGGGACCTCCACCCCCAGTCCTAAAACGGAGGGGATCAATCTATTCATTCTTGGGGGACCTTTGTAGAAGCCTAGGCCTAGACCCGGAAACGCCGCAAAATTCTAGACCCGGAGAGAACCCTTATAAGACCCTTAGAGAACCCTTATAAGACCCTTAGAGAACCCTTATAAGACCCTTAGAGAACCCTTATAAGACCCTTAGAGAACCCTTATAGAGCCGGTTGTTGTGGAGTTTGCCCTCCAGCCCAAACCTGCCCTGCGGAATGCTGCCCAGTCACTCGAGCGAAGCATTCCGTAACTCCAGTATCCTGACCGCACTGAGGCGAATGAGCAGGCACAGTTTAGGGTTTAGGGTTTAGGGTTTAGGGTTTAGGGTTTAGAGGCTTCCCATAAGGCTCCAGAAAGCTTCCTATGGGGTTCCGACAGAGCTCAGCTCAGGACTTGCAGAGGTTTACGGTGAAGGGCTTTGGTTTAGGGCTTTCGGATTCTGTTGTTTCGAAGGTGCACGGCAGGGGTGCCCTCAAAGCTGTTGGAGGTCATATCGGGGCCTCAATAGTTAGAAAAAGGTTTTGGGGCCCACTGTGCTATAAAAAAAGCAAAGAAATCATTTAGGCCCTACATTATGGGGTTTGAATTAAGTGTGGAATCAGGATTTCAAGGCCGATGTAGTTGAAAGTCGGGAACCCCAAATCCTGAAATCCTAGGCCTAACGGGCCCTCAACCACTCTGAAGTTCCGAAAGCTTCAAGCATCCGATCACCCTGAAGCCCGAAGAGACACTCCCAAGTCGGAGTCAGCTCAAGCCGTGAGAAAAGACACCAAGTGCCCTCAGTCTTCGGCCTCGTTCAGACACTGAAGCTCGTCGTCTTCGCACCTGCACGTGAAAGCTCAGGGCTCTCAGGCTGGAGGGATCCACACGTCATAGGGCTGTGTTACGAAAAGGAAACGCCGAATATTCCTAAGGAGCCCTGGTAAACGGCTTCGGGAAAGACCCGAAAGTATACCATTTTTCGGCCCCCCGACCATAGTGTACAGCAGCCGTCATTGCTCGAATGCTCTCATCCAAATCAAGTTGGAGCCGCCCTTCAAAGATTTCGTGACACTGCTGCGGAGTCTGCAAGGGCATTGTAGAGATGAAGTATCCTATCTTTAACGTAAGCAAACGCTAGGTACACTAGAGAAATTCCTGAAAGCCCGAGAACCCTCCAAACTCCGAAACCCCAAAAACATCAGAACAAGAACCATCCACCACAACCTTCGGAAACCCGCAGAACCTCTAGAAGAATGATCTCAAAACAAGCTCTCTGTCCGAAACCCTGAAACCCTGCAAACAAAAACTCGCAACAATCCATCTACCGAGCCCCCGGAAACCGTAACACAAAGCACAGATCAAGACAATGCGTCCAAAAAGCCCCAAACCCCAAAACACGTCTCCAGGCGGCCCTTATCAAGCTCCTTAAGACCTCTCGCAACCTAAACCCTAAACCCTA